AGAACTGCAAAAACCCTTCAAGAATCACTGTGAAGCTTCTTCAATGGTGATTCAACAGCTAGAAATTTCTGGGTTTTTTTTTTTCTGAATCTTTTGCCGCTTCACTGCAGAAGGGAAAACTAAAACAGCCCTTCAAGATTAATCCTTGCATGGATCTTCAACGATGACCAGAAAATCTTGTTCTTGTGAAACACAAAATTCTCCGATTCAGTCTCGCTTCGCCCTGCATCAGAAATGCCACGGAGCTTCAATATCAGTGTGTGTGTGAAGAAATATATCTGAGACAAAGTGATGAAGGAAGAAAGACAAGGAAACAGCACAGGTGGTAGTCAAGTTGTGGTTATTTATAGAGTGATGTGACGCCGTTATCTCTCGTCGTTATCTACCTGGAAAATATGCATTGATGCCTTAAGCAAAAAAATTCTAAAATTGTTATCAAAAAAAAATATTCTAAAATTAGTACCACGTCTTTTCAAAGTTGTACCTTGATATTGTTATGGCATTATATAGACGGCGTGTGTGGGGGGGCATGAGCAGTTAAGGGTCAATTTTGAATGTGTAATTGGTCTACAACTCTACATCCGGAGAACATGGGGTCCCACCTGTCTATTTGATGCAATGTGAGTACGCCACGTGTCCATCCTGTTGGAATTTGAATTGTCATCGTCAATGGCTGCAACCCTATTTGTAACGATACTTTGAAAACTCTTTTTAACTCTTTTTCATTGTAATTATTTTCAACTACACATTTTTACAATAACACGTGAATTCAAACTTTTTTCCTACTTTTAATCATGCATTCTACAAAAAATTACTATTCAAAAAAGGGAAAAATTCATTTTTCCTACTTTATCTTTACCCTATTTCAAAAATAACAAAACAATTTCCACATTTCAAAAATCAGATATTTTAACCTACACACACACACACACACATAAAACTAACCCACCCCACCTCCACCACCACCACCGCTCCGGGGATTATTTCGGCTACCTCTCCGGCGATCGTTTCGACGACTGCTCCGATTTCGACGACTCAGGACACAAGTCACAGTCCAATTCACAAGTCACAACTCAGGTCACAAGTCACGGTTTAGGTCACAACTCAGGTCACAATTCAGAAATTTGTTCACAGTCACGGATTATTTTCAAATGATTACAGCACATGTTACAAAATATTTTT